TTTTCCCCCATATATATATATATATATATATATATTTATATACAAAGATCATTATTATACTGAAGTCGAAATCAGAAATTCAAAGTTGAAATTATATTACTATTATATTACCCCTTCGTTGAGTGGTGGAAAGTTTTATGGAAAAAGTACTTGTATTCTGGCTATTTACTGAGTGGTCATTAGTGTTGTTTCACTCCACTCAGTACAATTTTTTGGAATAGCGAAATGAAACATGCTTTTTCTCTCGTTTATATTTTATAGTTTCTACATTTCAAGAGGCAATAATTTCCACAGCCTCATTCATAGTAGGGATCCACTTAATTTCTTTATATTGTTTTGAATTTCTCTATTACTTTGATTTCTTCACTTATGAACATATTGTTGAAATGCTTTAATTTCAAAATTTCCAATTCAAAATGTGTATATCTTCACTGAGATCAATAAATTGCAGAAATGAGAATTTTATATACAAGATAAATAATTTTGGTATACTGAAAAATTAATGAAATATTTAACAAATTATGTAGAAAATGGAAGAAATAGTGTAACCACTCATTCACTAATTCAAAAACTGCCCAATTTATTTCATAAAATTTCATTGAAATCAACTCATCACTTCCTTCTTGCCAACGATTCTTCTCTCTTCGATCACTTTTTTGAACCATTTCGCTGACATTTTGGCCGTCCTCTTTCTGTTTGGATCGGAGAAATCAACGTGATACAATCCGAATTTATCTCTAAAATCAAAAATGTTATTGGAAGAAGAATAAATAATACATGTTATTGTATTAAAGATCATTCCATGAATATTTCATACTATATCTTCGTTAAAAATTACTTCATATATATATGACATTTATGACAAAACTTCAATGAATTACATCTTTGTTTCGATTCTTTCTTCTGCATTATTTTTGGCATAAAGTAATGCAAATGTATCCACTCCTATCTATATTCTTCTATATATTATTTTTCTATCTATGAAAATACATGAACCAAGTGTATTACTATTAATACATGAATGTGGACCAACATATGAGGATTTCTTTCAAGAATTGTATTTATTATCGGAATATTTATGGTATCATATAACCCCACCTAAGCAATATGTACGAACATCAGTTGAAACTCTTATAAAAGTTTTCATCAATAGAAAAATGAAGATGAAGCAACAAGTGATTATACTCATAGGTATAAAAAAGTTTTGACAAAAAAGATGGAACTGAAAGATGTTGTTTCCTGACAAGTCTAGACACTTATCAAACAGTAATTAAAAATGCTCAACTCTTTATTCCGAATATATTCGAAAATCAAATTTCATTCAAGAAATAAACTCATTAAGTAACTTGACTTGAATTCAATAAAGTTATGAAATGATTCTTTGAGGCTGGTTTCGTGTGTAATCGCTTTAGAGTTCGAAGTTTCCCAAACTTTTGATCTGTTTGTAGAACGGCATTGGTTTTTTCCTATCAATTTTAAATAAGTATTGATATTTCCATTCGGGAGACTAATTGAATTGAAAATTGTTTTTTGGAAATAGGATTGACATACTGAGCCACGTATGAAATATCAATAGTAAAATAATCCGAAATATACCAATATATGTACTCCTTGGGATGACTGCAATAACAAATTCAACACCAACGTATAAAAAGAGAAACTGTGATGTTTTATTGTCAGTAGTGCAATTTTCCTCATCAGAGAATCTAGATTCATAACATTGTTAGGTTAGGTTAGATCCAAAGTGAGTGGGGTCTATTCGATCCTCCATCGCAAACCGCAAAAGTTTATTGTCGCTCACACATATTCACACACGACCAAAAAAACCCAGCTTCTCAACGAAGCCAATTAGTTTGTATAGTGAGCAGTCTTTCAGGTCTGATAAGAGTACGGCTCTGCCGAACTCTAAAAACCTGATTCGGTCCCCAGCGGGGCAGGCAAAAAGTATGTGCTCTACTGTTTTATCATTTTCCAAACAGGGGCGACACACACAGTCCGAGTCTCTGCATATAATGATTCACATGACAATGACCTGTAAGACATCGTAGTTCATGCATACTGTAGTCCAACAACTGTTTGGTATTAAGCTATGAAGGGTGAATAAACGCCTTGGAGTTAGCCAATCCTGGACAATTCTGCCAGAAGTCCATTGATCTTCTTGGCATCCAGGTGTTCATCGATCCAGAACGTGCCATTAGCAGGTTCTGGTTCGATAAAGCTGCTTGCAGCACCCTTTTTTGCAAAGGTGTCAGCAGCCTCATTGCCTTCCAGGCCAGTATGGTCAGGAATCGAGATCAGAGATAATCTGTTAAGTTTTCTCATCGAGGAGAGTCGTTTTTGGCAATTTGCTACCAACTTAGATGTTGCTCGTTAGGAGCCAAGAATTTTCATCGCCAATTGACTGTCCGAGTATATTTTTATTAACTTGTGTATGAGGTTAGATTCTTTCAATCTCTCCGCACACCACATTTCAATAGCGAAAAATTTCGGTTGAAATACAGTCGCAAAGGTTCCTAGGCAGGTTGATATATCTGTCCTAGGTTTGCGATTGAAAACACCTGAACCAGAACTTGAAGGTGTTTTTGATCCATCTGTGAATCAAAAACTATCTGCTCTTAATAATTCCTCCTCCCGGAGGATCCAGTTCTCTCTACTCGGGAACAGTACTTTATAAGGCAGTTCGTAGTTGACAGTTGGTGGCATGAAGACAGAGGTATTTTCCAGAATGCTGTGACTCCCAGTGTCAACCAACAGTCTGTTGCACTCTGCAATAAATTGATTTGTGGAATTGGCAATGTGCACAAGTCTATATGCAATCCGTATAGCTTCTCTCTCCAGAGAAATGTAGATAGAAGGTAGATCCTAGAAGTATCTCCATTCCTACTGACGTTGTGGTACTGATGGCAGCACTGATGGCCAGACAAGCCTGTCTCTGTAAGCCAGAGAGCGTCGCCTGGGCCGTTTTCTGTAAAGCCTTCAGCCACCAGATAATTGCACCATAAGTGATCATTGGTCTGACAATCATCACATGAATCCAATGAATTCATTTGGCACCTGAGCCCCAAGTTTTACCACAAATCCTTCGACATATCCATAGGGACAGTCTAGTTTTGTGTAAAACTTTTTCCAAGTGAGCGTTCCAAATGAGTTTTTTATCAAGGATAATGCCAAGATATTCCACCTCCATTTCAAATGGAATGACCTCACAATCAAGGGAAAGAGGCGTTAGATCGTCCATCAGCTCCCTCAGGCATCAACTGTGAATAACGTCCATCGTGCTGTGGAGGATATTACAAGCTACCCTTCCCGACGTGGACCTTGCCAATATGACAAGGTTATCTGCAGAAGCTTGCAGATCTACTTTTCTTCTGTAGAGGGCATCAAGCAATCAGGAGCGACCACAGAAGGGGAGATAGTACCCCACTTCGACGGCAGCCTCAGGTGACGCATAATATTATTGAGATGAACACTATTGTAATATTTATCTTGGTACATTGATTTCATCAGCCATTTCATACTTCCATATACTTCTTCATTTTATACCTCATACAATTTAATACAATGAAAATAATAATGAAAAATTTTCGTTCCATGTACAGTAGTATCAGAAAAAATAAATCAATTTTAACTGCTGTTTTTCATATAGTTCGATAAAGTGATTATGTATTTGATGAAATTACCTGTATCCATTTGTCCATTCAAAACTATCCATAATGCTCCATACCGCGTATCCTTTGACATTAACCCTATCTTCCATGATTGCTTCTGATATCGCGTGCAGATGTTTCTGTTGATCAAAGAGTTATCTTTAATATGAGTGGTGTTACTAATGACACTGTTATTTTCAAAATCATCTGCAGCGGAAACTCACAATTTTTTACTGCTCAGATAAACCTAGTAGATCATATTGTCATTCAAAATGAGTTAGTATGAATTATTATTCAAGTCTTCATTTCAATTTTGAGAATAAAAATCAACATGAAAGATGGAATATTTCTTTTACCAATAATAATCAATATAAAATAGTTCAGTCCATAAAAAATTACTGAAATTTACCATAATATATCCCAACTTTGGGATTTAACACAGAACATCCTGTATATTTTCACACTTTCGGATTCAACAGTTCATTTTGCGAACGAATGTTCTATTCTGTCGAAAATATACTTACTGTGAAGTTTTATTTTAAATCACGTACAGGGGGATGCGACCACTGAAAAAATATTCGCTCTGAAATCAGTGGAACTGCTTTCCCACTCACTCACTGATTGATAATTTCTTGACAGATATTTCAATTTTATGATATCACTGGTTTTTCTTTCAATGGCACCATAATGGCTCATTATATTATTCAGAAAGATTCCTGTTTTACTAAAATTTCGATATAATGATTACCTACCTAGGTGTTAGGAATCACACGTTAAAAGGTAAGACCTCGTTTGTCCTTAGCTCGCACAAGTTTCTCAACTTCTGAGAGTTCGTATGAGGGCGACGGCTGATTAACGGAAAAACCTAATTGTTACATTTATTGGTTCCCAAATAAATGTAGCACCCTTATGTAACATCCTGTACCATTGATCTCCTGATGTAATATCGTACTTCCTAATGTACGACGTCACAAACAACCGATTATTTACATAAATTATTGATTCCCAAAGAAATGTTGCACCCTTATGTAACAACATCGTGTAACATTGATCTCCTAATGTAATATAGTACTTCCTACTGTACGATGTCGCAAACAACCGATTATTTACATAAATTATTTGTTCCCAAAGTAACGTTACACCCCTATGTAAAATCGTGTAACATTGATCTCCTAATGTTATATCGTACTTCCTAATGTACGATGTCACAAACTTAGAGAGTCGATGAATAATGGTGAACAAATCAAGAAGCACTATTGAAGTCGATAGTATATTCCACTCCACTAAATTTCACAAATGCTTTCGTCCTGACATTGTCGAATTCGATCTTCCGTTCCCCTTATGACGTTATTCAACTGCTTATTATTTATTTGTGCAATTGCCCTCCTCATTTGATTCTCAAAATCACCTTGGTTTTCTATCGGAATACGGCACCGTGATTTTTGACATGATCACGAAAGAAGAAATCGAGCGATGTCTAATCTGATGATCTAACGGGCCACCTCATAGTTGTGGTTGTGTAGTGAGTTTACTAGGATTATTGAAGTTGAAAAGAACACATTGAAACGTTCCTTTCTGAAAATGATCCGTAAACAGAAGGAAAATAATTTAATGAATAAAAAATCTGACTGACAATATTCGCTCCATTCACACATATGTATATACTTAAATTGCGCTATGATAAATTTAATAATAATTTACCGAACAATTCAATAGAATCCATTTAACAATAATCTTAATCATACCAGCCATAGTTCGTAATTTCATATTGTAAACACGGAATTGATAGATCTGTCAAATAACTAACTAACATCAAGTTACATGAGTCCCATGGATCCATGGATCAATATAAAACAGTGGGCAGTTATTAAGTGACACTTGTCATACATCTATGAGATCACGTTTCTCGTGACTAACCTAAAACTAATTTTCATAATTTAACCATGCTTTCCGGTACAATTAAGATTTTGACTAACATTTAAATGTTTCTACACTGTTTGTCTGCATGATATGACCGATAAGCTTTGATTGCTATGAAGGAACCAGCTTCTCTCAAACTCACGATAGTAAGTAGTCCCATCAGGTCTATGAAATAGTAATTAAATATTTAAATGTTTCTACACGGTTTGTCTGCATGATATGACCGATAAGCTTTGATTGCTATGAAGGAACCAGTTTTTCTCAAACTCACGATAGTAAGTAGTCTCATCAGGTCTATGAAATTGTAACTATTTATTCGATTTGTTCACAATTGTTTAGTAGATCCTGAAGAAGAAAATAAACATTTCCGAAAGCTTGACGCAATACCAAAGAATTTCTTTCTTACTCCCTGGCATCCTCAAAATTGACTGCAACCTCACTAACAGAAATCATTTAGTGGTATAGATGTTCTTTCTTGGTCGGTTGGTCGGTCGGTGTTTGACGTAGGTGCTTTGTTCACTCAGTCAACCAGCCGATGTGTGAGTCGATGGTTCAAGCCGCAGGCTGAACGCTTGATTTTCACTTGCTATCGTCCAACTCGTGTTAGGAATCACACGTTGAGAAGTAAGACCTCGTTAGTCTTTAGCTCGCACAAGTTTCGACTTCTGAGGGTTGTCGTTTGCAGGGGCGCGATAGCTGGTTAACGGAAAAAACTGATTTATTATATGTCACAAAAAGGATTTGTGCCTTTATAACTTCTATTTATTATATGCGAACGCTTTCGATAGCTGGCTGTGCTGTCATCTTCTTGGCTCTACCCAAACTATACGTTTCATCATCTGGTTTGCTCATGTATGCGGTTAGAAAGCCTTAGTGCAGGTACTGCAGGTAAATTTGCCTATATTTGGGTTACATCATGTGTTGGATTTTCTCTAGGATCACTGTTTCTAGGAATGAGTATGGTATTGTGTAGTATATTGAATGTTAGGTCTTGTTGTGTTTTGATTTGTTGTACGCCTTTTTGTGCTAGTCGTTCCTTTGGATCAGTTTTTTTTTATTTGGCCGATATAGAATTTGTTGCAGTCCGAGCATTGTATGTTGAACACTCCGTTTAGGTTTTTGTCTTCTTTTTTTCATCGCTATTTATTTTTTGTGTTATTTTCATGTTTGGCTTGCATGTGATATTGACGTTCAGGGGTTTGATGATGTTTGTTGGTTTTTTGGTTTGGTGACCTACGTATGTAAATGCAGTGCATCGTTTTGTTGTTTTATCTGTTGGAGTAGTTTGATCCTTGTTCTGTATTTTTTGTTTGATTCTATTTTCTAATTTATCCATTGTCTTTTGGGCGAATCCGTTCTCGTTCGCTATTTGGTATATGATTTTCCTTTCCTTGTTCCGAGCTTCATTGCTAAGTGGTATCCTCAACATTCTGTATAAGAATGCATTATGCATTATAGGCAGCCCTTTTGTGTGGTGATGGGTGGTTTCAACTTGCGGGTATGGTGGAGCTTGTTTGTATAGGTTTTCTGTAGATTGCTATTTGGAATTGTGTTTTGTTGTGGTTATCTCCGATAGTTATGTCCAGGTAGTTGAGTTTCGAGTTTTTTTCTTCATCTATAGTGAAAATCAGTTTTGGATTTATTTTGTTAATTTCCTTTGTCATCTGTACAATTCTTATTCCTTTGTTTTGTGATATGTACAAGCCATCGTCAACATATCTGAATCATTCTCCTTTTTCATCGTGTGTTTTTATTATTATTAAGATTTTCTAATCTATAGTTTACAGGTATATTTCGGATATAATGCTAGATAGAGGGGATCCCATCGCTAGTATATCTGTTGGTTTATAAATATTTCCTATGGATTCAAAATAGTTTTGGTTGAGTATTGTATTTAGGCTGCATTAAATCTGGTTAATGTAGATCCTGTCTATGTTTTGGTGTTTCAGTTTATTGGATATGATTTTTATATTTTCGTTGATCGGTATGTTGGAGTACGTTTTTTACGCCGAATGAGAATAGTTTATTGTTCGTGCTGACATTTGTCTCTGAGATTCTGACTGTGAGTTCAATTGAATTTTTAACGCTGTGGTTGTTGTTTCTGTTGATTTTATTCTTCAGTTCATCGGCTATGATTTTTTAAATTTTGTAGGAAGGTGCTTTGGTGAAATTGATAACCGGTCTTATAGGTTTATTTTCCTAAAGAACAAACAGGAGAATGAAACGTTCTGTGTCAGTAGAACCAAGAAGATGATAGAACAGCCAGCTATCGAAAGCGCTCGCATATAATAAATAGAAGTTATAAAGCTTCAAATCCTTTTTGTGACATATGTTAATATTAAAATACTGAAAATAAAGGAAAATTAGTTGCATCATTGTATCGTGTGGTCTAAAGTACACTAGTTTTTTTTAATATATTCTCCATATTATCATATATTATCATATCATATTATCAATATCAATTACCAAAGCAATTTTTTGAGTGAACACTGTTCTAATCAAGCTAACACATCTATTTCTTCGTTCACAGTTATAATGACCTCATCATCTTCGTCTGCTTTGTGAATAAAGCTGAATAACGTTCAGCATACATAACAGTAGCTGCTGTGAAGTTTTTCTACATTCTACATCACAAATAAGGAGCTTATCAACTTTTTCACCACGAAACTTATTTACTTTCATAGATATTCATTTTTTCGGAATGAACGTAATGCGACGTACTTTTTCTCAACATGAGATATTCATATGTGAAATGAACTGCTGGATCCAAAAATAAATGTTTCATTAGAATTTCCAAATTTGAAGTTATTTTAATATCATATCGAATAATAAATAGGCAGTATTCATATTATTGTTCTCCCTGAAATCACAATTTTCATGATTTTGCATTAGTTAATCTGTGTGTTCATTACATAGAAATTCTGGTAAAAGTAAAATATTTCTGAATAATAAAATGAACCATCATAATATCATCCATGAACAAACTAGTTATATAATCAAATTGAAACATTTCTCAAGGATTTTTTGATAAATGGGTAGTGGAGAATGCAGAACTAGTGATTTTATTGCAACATTAGATCATCGGAGCAGAGCAAATGTTGTTCAGTGGTCACAGCCTGCTTATGTATTTTTTGCTAAAAAGAACTCCACGATGAGTATATTTTCACCCAAATAGGATATTCGTTTGAAAAATAAACTGCTGAATTCAAATATGTGGATTGTTTCAATTGGAATTCAAAATTTGGGATAATTTCCTGTGAAACGAAGACTGCTACAAAAATATTTTTGATTCGATCAATCCAACTTGTGATACAATTCAAACCACCAAAATTCCACATTGATACCAAGAAGACAAAAAAATTATGAGGGCGAGCCTAAAATCGCCAAGATGGAACTGATTGATACGTTACCAACGTAGCGGGTAACAAATTAAAATCGCATTGGAATTCGATCAGATCAATGTGAAATATGTGTTTTATAACAACATTCTTATCTCTTCTCCCTTCGAAAACATCCTAGATTTACAAAAGAAAGAACTCTCCCAAATACTAACTCCAAATTCACCCTGTTTACCTGCAGATATTCTATTCTCTCCGTATCGTTTTTCTGTTCCTCGTCAGGAAAACCGTTTCCTGTAATGAAAATTTCAGGGTCATCATATTTGTCTTTGACCCAGTTCAGCAGGTTCCTCACACCTTTTGGTGTAATCTAAAAACGAATAATGATTATTTCAGTCGTGACGATTGAACAAGTAATTATAATTTGTTTACAACTCATTCCGAAATGATTCAGTATTTGAATGAGAATGAACATTATTGATCCGTTGTTTCTTATTTCTGTAATATCATCATCATGATAGAAAATGTTCCTGAAACTGGAACAATATCAATACATACAATACATATAATAAAATTAACTGATTGCATGGGATATATTCAAACAAACTATTATTGGGAATCTATAGTACTCCAAAAAAATCATGTTTAAAAAGTTTAACGTTTGTGAATGCGTCTGTCTGTGCATTCGTGTGCACTAAACACAAAAACGGCTTCACCGATTTGGATGTGATTTTCATAAAACTTCACACACTCTACACATAAAGTTCCACTATCGAAATACCATTCAGCTGATTCGGCTGAAACTTCCATCAAAGTATTGATGAAGTTGATAATGAAAAAATTTTATCAACAAAAACTTTTTCGAATCATAACGAGCTAATGTATTTCAACGAATAAAAAAACGTTTTTTTAGGATAGAGAATTAATTCTAGTAAAAATTATTTATATCAACCTACTTGCTGAATATCGCTGGATATCGATATCATTGATTACATTTGAATATTGTTATTTCATTTTATATGAAATTCTGTCACAAACTTGTCATAGTATAAAGTGCTTTGAAGTCAAAATGAGCTTCCTTAAATGAGTATGAAAACGTTTGATGAAGCTATTATATATCGAAACACGTGTTGTAGTTTTAAAGCCTCTTGTAAAAATCTCGTGATGATATGTAAGTTGAATATGAATTAGACATGAAATAATATCCTGGGGCAGTGTATCAGAATGTCATGTTGAAAAAGTGTTTATCCTGCAGAAATCCGCTGTAAGAAGTATAACTTTTGCCAGATGGGATGAAACTTGCTGTCCAATATTTGAAAATCTCAAAATAATGACACTGTATTCAGTTATTGTTCATAAAAAACTACCACATTCCACATTCGACTTAATATAAATAATTATACCTCTCGAACATATTTCAGACCTTGTCATGCAAGCAAATAGACTGAAAAAGACGGGCAATATTGGCCTTAAGCTATACAATACTCTGCCACTAGATTTGTTATTTAAAAGATTCAAGTACTCATTGAAGTTCTTCCTAACTACCATCTATGTAACTTTTTGACTTCACAACGATAAGCAGTGTAAGATAAAAATAAAAGAGTATTTGAAGGTTGTATTTATTCTAGACTTGTAGACTTTTGATTTCAACTTTGATTTTTAAACCATCTCCTTGAATGGAGTCCAGTGGTGGATGATGGAAGCCTGTCTGTAGAAAAACTCCTTTCAGTCAGATGATCTGACTGGATGACTTAGTTAATGCTAGGCATGACTTAATCATTCAGCCAATTGAAATATCTTCCACTAGTTAGGTTTGCTTTACAAAAGAATGAACCTATAATATGACACGTCAATATGACATGGAAATTCCGACAGTTGTCTTGCTATACAGATAAAAGGTACATACATATGAGAAGCTAGATTACGGTTGACGCGTTCCGAAAGTCGTAAAGATCTCACAAAATTTAACTCACCAATCGAAATCATCTTCGTTCAATTCATGAAGCATTTTTATTTTGTAATGGTGAAATGGTGTCGAAATGGTGTCGATAATGATTCCTGGAAACATTTGTACGACTCACTCCTGATGCCTGGGACAGCAGAGTAATTTGGCCTACAACATTATTGCCTTCGTTATTTATTTATCCTGAACAATAATCAACTCTCTAGATTCTATGAATTCATGTACCAATTACATTTTATGAATCACATTTCTGTCCGGATTTTTTCCATTGAAACCACAATGGAGATATCATATTCTCCATCTTCAATCCTCTCTCGAAGTGTACAAACCATTTTATATAAAATAAACGAGATAACAACTCAAGTTCAAACAGTGCAAAAATGAAATGTCTTATTGAATAATGCTGACAATAACATTAACAATTTCAGCATTAACTAGGTGATGAAATTCAGGACCCAGTTATGTACTTGCAAAGAAATTTTCCACCATATTTTTTTGTCATTATTATTATTAGTATTATCCAAATGTGTTAGTTTCGAACACTCCGAATAGTGACATTGTGTGATCAGGGTAACCTACCAATTTAGAATTGGGTCAAAACTCAAAAGACATTTCCTGACATTGCCTTTCATTGTGAGGTCAAAAATGTTATAACATAGAATTGAAACACATTTTAAATGATCTTTCATTAGACTAGCAGCAGAATCCAATATATTGCTTTTTCGACGACAGCAGACTTGTCTCGTCATTCCATTTGGATTCCAGAAAATCGGAGACGTAGACACATCTTCACTGGCAGAAGGAGGTTGCATATCTTAATGAGGATCTAGAAGTGATTTCGAATTGGGGTGAAAGAAACCAGGTCCAATTCAACGCCACAAAAACCCAGGCATCGGTTTTCTCCAGAAAGATAAATGTCTCCGAATCGGATATAATAATGTCGGATCAGAAATTCCGCTTTCTTCTTCGATAAGTTTATTGGGGAGTTAAAATGGACACCAATATGTCATGGCTCAATCATGTCGTTGGAATTGCAAAGGCCGCTTCTCAAAAGCTTGGAACACTGTTCCGAACCAGAAAACTGTACACACCTCAGCAACTTTTGATGCTTTATAGGACTCAGATAAGACCTTCTTTGGAGTATTATTCTCATGTATTGAGCTCTGCCTCCAAACATACCCTGAAATTGCTGGAATCCATCCAGAAAACAGCCATCCGTCTGATTAGAGACGTGAACATCGCGTGCAACCTTGATAACCTAGGGGAGTTCTTCAAGTGACTTGGCACATTTGATTCCACCAAGAGCGGTACATATCAGAAATACCCGAAGGACTGTGGCTGCTCATCGTTTTGAGGTTCAACTCAGTACACCTCGACCTTCACTGTTTGAGAACTCTTCCATCTGAAGAACTGCGTTTATGTTGAATAAACTTCCTGAAAACGTTTTTCCAAATGGATTTAATCTGTAACGATTCAAATCCAATGTGAATCGTTACTTTCGCCCAAGCACCGCTCTTAGAGCGCCTTAAAAAATTATGTAGTGCTTGTGTTTTATCTTTAGCAAAAAAAGAACTTCTCATTCTCAAGATTTGACATCAAAAAGTTCTGGTTGTAAAGGTGAAAAGCTTCTATCTTGTTTGACTTCCATATGTAATTTTTGGCTGAGCGGTCGACTGAATCCTGAAATGTATCCTATTTTGTACGGTTCCTCTTTGATGGAATCAAAAAAAGATAGTGGCATTTACTCCATTGCTATTGGTACCATTTTTGGTCGCCTTGTGGAAAAATTTTCATGTATAGATTCGCATTAACAGACAGAGTTTTGTTCTGGTGAAGTGGAAATATAGATATTAGGTAAATAGATGGGTATTATTTTTTTTAAATAGAATCAATTCCGTAGTCTGAGCATAACTCATTTCATTCGTTTCAGTTCATCAGCTCAAAACTTTTCAATGAAAGCTTGATTCTTAAAATATACAACATTCATTCTCTTCATTCCACATTTTTCCAATCTGTACGTTTCAACCTGATGCTAACGTGCATCATTATTACAAGGTCTTTCTTCTATGAGTTTTAATCTATCTAGCTCCTCCATCGGGAGGTTTTGGCCATTTGAAGTATTCCGTTCAACAAATGCCTTCATTTGATAGTATTGTATTATAAGGGGTATTGTGGAAATTTAGATCGCCATTTTTACGACGTCCGCCATATTGGATTCATGTTGAAGTCACTCTACTCATTGTATTCCGTATCCTTCAATTGATTCACAAGTCAGGTCAAGGTTACTATGGTAATGATAAAATGTGTTTGATTCTGCATATGAAAATAATGATTTATCTAAAAAAGAAAGTTCACTTTCTAATGAACTGAAAACTCAGAAGCAATTAATAACTCATAATTCAAAACTTTTTGTACTCTAGAAACAGCCACTACTTGGGATAATTAACTAAGGGCTAGATATAAGTAACTGAAAAAAAACGACTATAATCCTCAATTTACTAGTGGAAAGAGGCAAAGGTCAATAGATAATTGAGGCTGATCACTGTTAAGAACTAATTTAGCGAAGTATTGTTACTCAAAGAAAGCAATCGTTCAGTAGATATTGTGGATTTTAGTTTCCATTTCCATTCTGGAGAAAAACAATTCGCTTCTAGGAGGTATGGAAATGAAACAAGGAAAAATTTCTAATATCTAATGAACGATCTAATCCATTTCCAATAATTCTTATCTGTTGAATTTGTTCCAAGCATGATCTATACATCTTTATATAGAGTTGATTTCTCGAAATTGATTGCTTCCGTCTTTTCTTTGGAAGATTCCCGCATTTTATGTATCAAGATGCAGAAGTAGGAAGCAAAACCTTTTTCTCAGTTAATCATATTCAACCATCCATTTATTGACCTGATTTTACCTGTTTTCACCACTGAATCGAGGATCATATCGGATATTTTCAATAATAATGAATTTGGCTTACAATCAATTATCTGATTAGCAGCCATTAGTAGCCAATGATTCGAAGACATAATAAATTCCTACTTGCTTTGTAATTCTTGTTATTACTTTGTATTTCCAATGTAATGACTCAGATAACGACAAACCGTCAATGAATGTAGAATTTTTTCGCAGACAAATTATTTCCTTACCATCATTTCGTCAGAATTTGCTTCATTTCCCAGTTCATTGCTATGAACCACAATATTCATATCCTTTTCAACTGAAGAATTTCTTGTAGAGAAATTGGTGGTAGCATTCTCGACGAAGCAGCTTTTGAACACATTCAAACCAACAAAATCGAAAGTACCCTGAATATAATCAACTTCAGGGGATGACAGAACTGGAAGCCTTGATTGGAGGTATCCTTCGAGTCGACTAATCTTGTCCACTCGTTCTTTGTAAATTTTTGGATAATCACCATCTGTGTGGAAGATTGGGTTCATGATACTTCCCAACTGAAAATTTTCACATCAATATAGGAAAGCGTTGTTGAAATTTTTTACCTGAAACTCCCGTCCTACTTCAGCGGCTTGCAAATCTGCTGGGGATGAACTATATGACTCGTACCATGAGGCATTGATCGTTATTCCAACATTTCCTGCATAGAGGTAAAATGAGAAATTTTGCTGAGTCAAATTGGGGATAATTTCGAATATAAAAAATGATTATATTAGCTAATATAGAATCTCGCAATGAGCTTAGTCTTTCCGTCTAATGCTGGGTATATCATACTGGATAATTCCAGAAAATCCGTCCTAGTTAGTAATTATAATAATAATATGCTTTATTGCCCAAAGAACATTAGGTCTTATTGACAAAGCTGCAAATTTTCATCAGTCATCATAAATATAAGCATAAGAGATATTTTATCGAGTGGATATGATATAAAAATCAAAAATGAAACAATTAGTGGACACAACACTCCAAAAGTGGGGCAAACCGCGGACACGTGTTTCTGGCTATTGGCCTCATCAGCGCGGTGCAGCCAAATGTGTGCAATTTTTATATTATCAATATTTTTGAAAATTCGTGTGAGTTTGGGTGTAATTTCACTGGTATATGGTAAGGAAGTAAAAAGATAATTATTTATCTGAATTTCATTATTATTATTATTGATATCATTGTCCTGACTTGAAGAGATTGAAGGACGAACGTTATGATCTATTTCATTTGGGGACGTGTTAAACAATATCTTGTTTAATAAGGTTTTTGGATATGAATTTTGTACAAAGAGGTTTAGAAGGATTTTGAAATTTTTTAAGTGAAAGGATGAGTCCGAAATTCTGATAACACGTTGTTTCATCTGTTTGACCAAGTTGACTTTTGTTGATTGTTTATGTAGTGACCAATAGTTCATGTATCTACCTGAACTTATTGGTTTTCTGTACCAGTCAATAAGTACGGTATNGCGAATGTCCGAAGTTATAGATTATAATTCTGATTAGGTATCTCTGTTATAATTCTAACAATTGTATGAATGTTTCAGTCTTGATCCTGATAGTTTGCTTTCAATCTGATTTTCAATATCGAATAAGGATTTAATAGCAAATAAAAATCGTTTTCATCTTCATATACCTCTTGGTATATGATTCCACTACGGCGGAAGATTTCCATGTTGCTTGATGATCAACAAGTCTTTTACAAACTCAAATAAAAGAGCACCCGAGAAATCTGAAAAATTGATTTCATCAATTCCCAACTTGTTTAATACATCTGCCAGATTGATAACTGATGAAAATAATTGTGAGTATATTCATTAAGAAATATTACTGGAGTTCTATCCCAGCACCAAACTGTTATTTTCAATTACCAAGTGATCATATTCAATGCTTCACAAATATTCATTATGACTTATAGGTAAGAATTGAAATGTTCTGTGATGATGATTTTTCTTTTTAATTTGTTTTTCGTATCCTAAAGATTTTCTGTTTGAACTCGTTTCAAACCTTTCACATTATTTATTTCTGAAATATATTTATGATACCCCGAAGATGTAACATAAAAAAATTCAACTTGCGTACTTTGAAGTCATTAAAATTTTATCATTCATTATAACTAACAACTACAAGATCATTGAAATGCTTGTTCATAGTCATATCATTCAAACGTGAGATGAAATAATAGACACTGCTTTGTTAGGTGTAAAACGTAAAGGCAGCAGATGGGATAAGTCAACTTGTTAGTAGAGAGATGAATGGATAAGATCTATTTTGATGTGAATCACAAAGAAGAGTATCAAACTATGACATTTTAGAAAAATTATTTGATTTTGTGTTAATTTCTCCAAATTCTGAATTATCGATATTTTCTTGAATATTATGCGATATGTTCAGCATATGTTGGCTGCGGCTTTCATGAATTGGAAGTTACGTAAATATATGGGCTATTCTGGAAGTTGCACGTGAAATAAATTACATTAAAACTACTTGGAATTTTATGCTTCGGTTAGTTTGAAATTAAATATCATTTACGGTGAGGTTGTTCACGTTGACCGAAAGGGCATTTTGTCTCCATTGGGATCATATTACATTTTATTCTGTACAATTTCTATTATAATTTGATTAGATATATATTTATATATGTATGTATATGTGTATTAATATTCCGGAGAGATGCATTATGACATGCTCAAAGTTGCCCCTTTCCTCTCATGCAGACCCACGACAGATACCAAACGGAAAAACAACAACTCACCCAGCTAATGCCGCGCAGAGAGTTGAAGTAAAACCATTAGGAACCTGTGCAACGTCTTCAACTTGGAAGATTCGTCGCAAGTTTCCACTATGAAAAGTAGAAATTAATTTCGTTTGGTCGATCCTACCAATCGATAGACCGGTTTCGTGGTGATTGCCCCATCATCAGTACCGGGCATGGTCTCTTCAGAACGGTGTGAACCGTTTGAGTATCACGACCAAACAAATATAATTCCAGCTAGTCATAGAATCCCTTTGCAGTTGATTCAGTGGGATATCCACTGCGCCACCTGCAATCCTGACGATGGGGCAATCACCCCGAAACCGGTCTATCGGTTGGTCGGATCGACCAAACGAAATTAATTTCTGTTATTCATGGATTAACAGGGTCTCTCAGTCAAAAAATCAAAAATCAAATCTCTGTTCTACTTTGCCAAGCTTTTGCTTCTAATGGGAAGCTTCTTCAGGGCAGTAGAAATGAGTTAAAAACAATAAATTGAACATATAAGCTGACGGAAAAGGTTGAACATGTATAAGATTATTCTTAGTTCATTGTTTCTAGGAATGTGTATTGTTTTGTGGAGTATATTGAATGTTAGGTCTTGTTGTATTTGGATTTGTATTAGCTCTTCGATAAGTGAGTTGTTTGTATTTGTTCTTCCATAAGTGAATTATGGCTATTGAAATTCAAAAGATTACCTGATGTTTCTTGTTATTAATAAAGATTATTACTATACGCTTTTTCGCATATCTTATTTCAAAGAAACGTTCTCTGTCATAATCGTAATTTATCATAACGTAATTCATCATAACGTACTCCAGCATAACATAGTAAACGTAATTTTTCATAACATAGTTTTTCATAACGTACTTTATAGAAATAAGACAAATTTAGACTCTTATTGTATCAGGAAGTGATTCGAACATAATGTAAAGAAGTATTTAATTGTGGTACATTTATACAATCTTATAATATGGCGAAGGAATATTCACCATAATGGTGAAGTCTCCGATATATCTATCTAAACATCGATCGGTGATTTTTTAGTCAAGATAGATGTAGTCAATGACACAGAGACTAAAAACAAACAATAAAACAGTGAATGATAACGGTATTGATTGAAATTTCAATGAGATACATTAAAAATAGATATATTGAAGACAGACAGAAGAAAATTGGATAGTGAACTAGAATATTTCATCAAATTGTGAGAAATAGGCTGCACAGTATCTACCCCTTCCACCTGATGGTCAATCTTCACTGGAGAATATTTTTGTCGACGAAACTCGATAGTCGGAAGAATGGTAGCCGATTGGTTAGCGTGAGAGGTTCATTATACTCATTCAATCGAAACCTATGTACTCTATGTGGAACGGTGGATCGAACCCGAAAAATCTGTACTTGTGCTCATGTAATGAAAATGTTAGGAAGAGAATGTTTTCAGTAATTTCATAAACCGGAAAATGAATGAATAGTTGAAAAATACAAATATCATTAATTCAAAATGACGTTATTTCAGGGCTATATTGAAGAGGAGTTAACTGTCTCTCAGGATAACTACTTGAGTTAAGTTGAATTAAAGTTAATCAATTGAAATGGAGGTAATAATATATCGTTTCAAGAATGCAAAAAGAACAATTATTTTTGTTCTTTTGAACACGGCTCATATAATGTGATTATGACTATCATCCAAAATACATTCATTCTGAGATGTTATATAATGGAACAGATGTATCCAATTTTGCTGGTATCTTTTTTACCGAATAATATTTCTCGAGAACTTCGTATGACTGCAAATCGAGGATATTCAATTTTTCTTGAAAACCGACTCATATTCTTTATATTTCTGTACGATTAACCCCAGAGCCCAAAATCGAAACATTCATTATTAACTCCAAAAACCGCTGTCATAGATCTCATCAAAATGCTGGATGAATGCTTTGTTGGACCCTCTACCAGTGTTGTTGATGGAAATTGCACAAAATCCTCGAACTGTTCAAATATTCGAAATTCATTAAAATACTTTATAGTATTCTTCAATCAAAGATTTTGTTTTGTTTCACAATACCAACCCCAATGATATCTGCGTAAGAACATAACTGGAATGGGAATTGCATCTTACTGTTAACAAAGTGAAGTGGAGGAATGTGGATAGCTCATTTCTGTCGTAATCAGAGAGATGGGTATTTTCAATTCTGTCTTAGTCATTTTATATGCGGCATTAGGTAAAGTAGTATACACCAATAGTAAACAGTGGCTATGATACTATGAAGATGCCCATATTGACATAAATCCTATTTTGATCCACTGCAGAAAACATTAACCTCAAATCACGAAAGCATGCCACTCATCTCATCTGACACCACTATCAACTGATTAATCTAATGTATTTATCTCTTTGTCAATTCGAAACATCAGTACATGTCTGTTGGTTTGAAGCAATGCTCCGTAAATTTTATAAAAATTACATAGCATAACAACAACAGCGTTGTTCCAGTTTTCAGATATAGATATGAATCACTCTCAAAATCCTCACCAAACATGTTGATTTTCAATTCTGTATCAATTCTTCATAATAATTATGTTCTTATAAAAAACGATACGACAATGAATTTGTATTCGGTAACTTCTCTACATTGTATGTACCACTAACAGTACCAGTAAAAAACCATCTTATACGGTCATTATCATACATAATTCCTTCGCAAACCCTTACCAACATAAAGTAGCTGCATTCAATAGTATTCTTTACAAACTATTGAATATTTCACTGTCTGAGAGAAAATTTCCATAGAGAGCGAAGTTTGATCAAACAAATCGCGGTCAACAACGATTATAAGGAAGATATTATCAACTCCATTCTTTTCAAAAACTACAATAGCAAGTCATAGCAATATAGGAAGAATGGTAGCCGATTGGTTAGCGTGAGAGGTTCATTATACTCATTCAATCGAAACCTATGTACTCTATGTGGAACGGTGGATCGAACCCGACAGTTGAATGATCGCTTTTTACTGAGTATCGTTTAACCTGTGCTATTAGTCGCACTTTGAAGGTGAGACATCGTTAAGATCGCACGTGTTTCGATTCCTAAAAGGTTCAATTCATGACTGAACAATTTTTGGTTAACTGAAATACAGTTATGCAACTGAAAAAAATGAGTGAATTATCCGATATTGTTTCCGACTACAGCCCACTCGACCTTAGTCAGGCGCAAATTTATGTTGTGTTGGAAAAATGTTTTTCGAAAGATTATCAGAAAGCCCTTCAATAAAATCCAATTGGCGATAAAATAATTTTGCATACAAAAGCGATACCGGAATAATATTTCTGTGTCTCTCCTTAAATGCCTCGAAACTGAATTGTGTTCTGTTGATCGATATCTGGATATCAAAATTACCCGGTAACATTGTATTTAAAAAATATCAGTTTTTTATGGTGGATTTTGTGGGATGTCTACAACTTGACCAAAATAGTTCTGAATAATTACGTTCAAAATGAAATTATTTATAAATAGTGTATCATCATCTTGATGACGTTTTTCATGAAATGTAATGTTTACGTATCGAACGAAAGTAATTTTTTGTGAAGGAAAATCAGTTTTTTATCGGCCTTTTTTTGGTATTTTTACCTTCCACAATCTGAAAAGTATGGAAATTATAATGTTCACAATCTTCATTATCAAAATATTTGAATCTATTGAAAATAATATTCTTACACCAGAACGGAAATACTATCTCTCGACGTACGTTTCACTAACCAAGTAAGCATCATCAGAGGATCATCAAAACTGATATACTTGGTAAGACATTGAACATCATAAATATGTTATATAGATCATTTCGTTTACGATACTGAAAATACATACCTATTTCAATCAATTAAAATCTGTACTTGTGCTCGTGTAATGAAAATGTTAGGAAGAGAATGTTTTCAGTAATTTCATGAACCGGAAAATGAATGAATATTTGAAAAATGCAAATATCATTAATTCAAAATGATGTTGTTTCAGGGCTATATTGAAGGGAAGGTAACTGTCTCTCAGGATAACCACTTGAGTTAAGTTGAATTAAACTGAATCAATTAAAATGAAGGTGATAAGATATCGTTTCAAGAATGCAAAAAGAAAAATTATTTCGGTTCTTTTGAACACGGCTCATATAACGCGATTATGACTATCATCCAAAATACATTCATTCTGAGATGTTATATAATGGAACAGAGGTATTCAATTTTGCTGNTTGAGAATGTAAGACCGAATTATTGAATTCTTGATGGAGTTTTTATTGAATATTTGTTCAATATTTTCTTCTACAGGACCTAATAACTTATTCTGAAAATTTGTCAACATTTCTATATTTGTACCAAATTTCTAAATCCATAAACGTACCTTTCTGTAACATTCTGAACTTGTTATCGTACAAATGGTATACTTTGGCATGTGCCAAGAGCATCACGTGTTGGCACAAATAGTTTGCGATAGCTGGATAGTTTATGAAAGGGGGAAAAAGGTCGTCTCCATATCCTCGACAGTCTGCGTTTAAAGTTATCCAATATTTCACTCTATCCCCAAAGTAACTGAATAAAATATTGGCGTAGTCTTCAAAATGGTAAGCTATGTAGGGATTTGTCCAACCCCCTAGTTCTTGAAGAGCCATTGGTAAATCGAATTGATACATGGTGACCACTGGTTGGATTCCTGAGAGAGTAAGATTATCAGTCGTTTATTTTCAGAATCTTTCACAAATGAGAATGAAAAGAATATATCATGAGAGGCATACCATTTTTGATCAGTTTATTGATGAGGTCATTATAATATCTCAAACCATTCATATTCATATCATTGGAATATCCATTAGGTAAAACTCTGCTCCATGAAATTGAAAAACTGTAAAAGTCAACACCTAATTCTTTCAGTAATTTAACATCCTCCCGCCATTTGTGAAACGAATCACATGCTATGTTTCCATCACTGGAATTGTAAAATCTATTTGGAGACTTCTTTGTGTAGTAGTCGTAAATATTCGGTCCTTTTCCTGAAAAGTACGGTATGGGTTTGAGATATTCAATTCATAGTAATCAACTGATTTCTTGGAAAGGTTTGCCTATCAACTCGTTTTTTAGATGGGATCGAGAAAAAAAAGGATTATATTACAGGAAGGAATATAGAACCATAGACAGGCATATTTGGTGCACATTCAATTTGTTGACAACTTGAGGGGGTGAAAAAATAAATTAAAACAAAAATAATATTTTTTACACAAATTACATTATGAAAATTCTTATAAACGTTAAAGAAAATAAATTAGTTCACTCCGAGAATAAGAGAAGTGGTGAACTAATTTCTGAGAACAGAAATTATTAACAAGTCCGGATTATATTCCAGTTCACCCTCTGATCTTGAAACAAGAAGTTTCAGGCTGTTTTCTATGCAGATCAATGAAACAATTTTTTCCATAATCAATAAGTAAATAATATTATAATATGAATATTGAAGAAAATACCAAGAAATACACCATTAGATAACATTGAAATGACACAATTTCACAAAATTCCTTTCGGGTGAAAATAATTCCGTATAATAATAACAGATTTGAAAATTGGTGATGACCACTCTCCTCAAAAGGACGTCATCTGTGTTGGTCACCAGGTGATTCATTGCAATATTAGGTGTGATAGCTATGATCGAATGTAAAATATCTTTACAAGCAGGTGACTAGATGATGCAAAACCAGACCAAAGATATGATCCCATCATATGTGCAAATATTGAACGATTTTGTTCTTGTGAAGAACGACTCTGAATAAAAAGTGGCGATGGTTGCTCTGCAGCATAGACAAAAAGTCTAAATCACGATTAACAAAGACAAAAGGGTTTCTACGGCAAATGAGAAATCTCTTTGCAGCTGCTGATGGTTTTCAAGACTTGGTTTTTAAAAAAATATTACAGAAGTCAACCACAAAAGTTAACGTTTTTCTTTTATGTAGCCTGTATATTGAAACTACTAAAAACATACAAAATATTTCCAGTGTATGGAATAAAAATGAGGGAGTAAGTACTTAAAAATTATTGTTGACTGGAAAACATCTTGAACATATCAATTGAGCAATTGAAATTGAACAAACTCCATATCATTCCGAAAGGAATGGGTTTGTAAATCATGTGAAGGATTTGAAATTTTTTTATGGATATTCGCGATAATTTCTTCAAAAAAAGGACAAATATTTGATCGAACAACAGTTATTCCAAAAGATATAATTGAATTGAAGCTTGAATTTGGAGTCTAGGATGATATTCGAGTTAGGTATTCCATATCCGAAATTATTATGTTGAAAATAGACCCTTCAAGATCACTATCAACATATAAAGCCAAAAGTCCCATAATGCAAATTGTTTTGTATTTCCAGTTCAACCTAAAATGTTGCCACATCATTTTTCATCTATATTTTTTTATGTACATAATTTAGGTGGAAAATACCAATAACGAAATGTTTCATCAGTCATGTGAAAGAAGTTTTCAATTCAATTTGAAAAATATAGTTCTGATATATGGTGGAACAAAATAGACTTACGGTTGACTCTCAAGATATTGCTCGAAAAAATGAAATTGAACAGTATTTTTTGTAAAAATTATCTCCTAATGAAATAAAAAGCTGATAAGGTCTCACCTTCAACATTATAACCTCCTTCTATTTGATAAGCACTCGACGCTGTTCCAAATAAAAAGCCTTCTGGAAAGTGATGATCCTTTGAAGCACTGAAATATTGAAAAATCATTACTTTTTTTATTTCAATAACTTTAAATATTCATACCTGACTGCACCCAAGATTATCAGTATGAAAAGAAACGAAACAGAATATAATTTCCGGCCGATTATAAGGATCATTTCGTTTATCGTTATTTGTTTTGAATAGAAATTCTTTGAAATGAATATCTCTGCTCCTTATCATCATAGCTGAAATAAATAAAACAGAGTTTTTTACAAGGTGGTCAACCTTAACATTTTCCTGAAATAACAAACAAAAATGGCAACATGCACATGGTAATCATGATTGAAATTTCAGAAAGTGAATTTTATAATACCTACATGATACATGAGAATTGCAAATAAGTAATCTTATTGTAATAATAGCAAACGAAGCTGACTAAACACATTGCCGTACACCAAAATATCAATATGAGATAGTAGGATAGCTTGACTAGGAAAAAAAATTTGAATAGTTGCTGAGTTGATCATGATTGAGTAACTTCTAAACTGATGACTCAGCAAAGGAATTGGCGGTTCTCCATCCAAAAACCGATCTGACCTAATTCGTGACAGTGAATCATGAATTCATTATTAGCTTAATAAACTATATCTTGGGAAAATTCCTGAGGCTTTGGTCAGGCCCCTCTGGACTTGTACGATAAGGAGGTTGCGTTAATGGTCATGTTACGATTGCGCACGGCTGGCGTAAATCTCGAAGTAGGAATGGGTCAATTGAGGCTGAACCTATGGCGATATGCACTTACTGCGCAACCTCTGCTGCAGGCAACCAGTGATGCAATTGAACCCAGGTTTGTGTTTCATAAACCCTACAAAATACAAGTAAAACAGAACGCAGAGTCAGATGCTACAAACGCAATACGCATATATATAGACGGCAAATACCAAAGAAGGCTCAGAATGTGGACTGTACTCCAGATCACTAAGCCTGAGGATTAAGTGGGGAATGGGAAAAAATACCAGCGTAGTTCAAACAGAACTGGTTGTTATCTCAATAGTCACAAAAGAAATAAACAGGGAAGGAATTTCTGTCAAAAACATAACGATCTGCACTGATAGCAGACAAGCCCTATCAGCCTTGAACAGACAACGTGTTACCTGATGACATCGACAATTGCGGAACTAGCCAAACGCCACAACCATGCTCAATCCCTAAAGAGATGGTATGAAATCGAAGGATGTAATCTTGCCAGGATCACCCTGGGCGACCCTGGGAAGCTGGCGACGAAGAAATATCTGGCGATGACCAGCAAAAATCTACGCTTGACAGTAGGATTTCTGAGTGGCCACTGTCAACTAAGAAAACACTTCCTCAATATGGGGCTAGTGGACACACCTCTATGCAGTATGTGTGAGCAGGAAGATGAAACTGTCAGACATATCCTATGCGAATGTCCGAAGTTATCTTCAATAAGAGAGTGTGTGTTTGGCGAATTTTGGCCTATACCTGCCGATATAAAGGAGATGTCTCCCAGAGAACTGTCCACCTTCCTGGAAACGACAGGATGGAAGATGACCTAGAAGAACCACTCCTCGGGAGGATGGACAATGGGTCACATATGGCCTACGTGCTGTGGGCCTACACTCACCCTCCCAACTCTGCAGATACAGACAGTGAGGCTTCCAGGAAGTCAACAAATCTAGATCCTTATTGAGTCACCATATTGAATCAAACCTTACCGCTGCCTGAGGTTAGGTTTTATGACATGGAATCTTGTTCATGGTGATTTCTCTTGTAATACTGAATGATACACATCGCCATTAGCGTCAATTCCGAATCTAGTTTCCAGTTTTCTGAAGTTTTCAGAGTAAAAGTTAATAAGTATCCTATTATGGCCCAATATCTTCATGTATTTTAAACCAGAACCCAAAATCGAGGCATTCATTATTCAACACCAGGTCTCATCAATGGTGCTAGGTGGTCGATATCGAAGCTTGGATTCACAACAGACTCCACTGGAGAGCCTTCTTTATCTTAGATATTCGTGGGTTGAGTCTTCTGCCGATTCCATCGTTGATGTCTTTATAAGAGAAGAAGTCATCGCCTTTACTTCTCCAGGATTGTCCTTTGAGGAAATTCGATTCCAACAATGCATTCATGGTCCAACCAAGCACGTTGACTTGATCCATGGTGGGTCGAAACATCGCTGTCTGGTAGTGGATCTTGAATGTTTCGTCTTTGGGTCTGTTTTCACCTAGTTGTTCCAGTAAAAGATGCAATAAAAGACAGAACACGAATTTCGTTCGGCGCTTTTGAGAGCCTCCATTATCTGTGATATTCGAAGATTGAGTTTTCTATCGATTTTATGGATCTTCGTAAGAAAAGTCATTATCTCTACCCAAAATCAAGTATTTCGGAAGTGATGAGCAATTAAAAACATTGTTTTCAATACTACATTGACTAGATGTAACTACTCAAACCTAGCTTTGAGATCTAAATAATATACTGATCATAAAACGTCAATGAACCCAAAAAATTTCAGGATTGTCGATTCAAATAAAACCTAGCTAATCTCAGTCCAGAAACTGCTGTTTCGAGATTCAACCATATCATCACTTTTTATTATCGTGTTTCATAATGACAGTAAATTGGAAATGTTTTTAAAACTTCTGTGAAAGATTCAGTGATACCAATCTTACCAAAGATTTTTTTACGAAAAAAGTGTTATTAGTTCCCTCTGTAATTAGGGAAGTTGAATAAAGCCAAATGACTGATTTAAAACAAAAAGTATACTCGGAATGAAAACTGAAATAGCACCAGTTCAAGAATGGTGTCAAATCAAATTCATTTTCCTGTTCATGCTATGGAAGACTTCAAGTCAAGTTATTCATATTCAATAATTATATACCTACAACCCAGTTAGAGACTGATTCAAATGTTTTTGAAATTATTATGAAAGTTAATTTTTCAACTTTGTTTTCAGTTTCATTAAGAAACGATCATGAATCATAACTGTCCAGAAATTGAATATACCGTCGTAAAATAATTGTTTCAAAATATATCTGAGTCAGAGATTCACTTTATCTTCTCCAATGAAATGAATAATTGGGTCAAGGTTGTGAACTTATGTGAAAACTTGAGAGATTTGATCCGAAATTTCCTTTATGGATTTCGTCTGGAATTGATGAACTGATTCGTTGATGGATTCCTTGTTATTTGTTGGGACCACTCAAACTAATCTATTTGACCTCTTCGTTTTCAGGGTTATCAAGAATAGTTTCTCATTCAGAAAATGATCTTTGGAAGTAATATTTAGAAAACATGTCGCATGTATTGTAAACATTGCTAATGATATATTTCCGTTGTTTTTTCAAGAAAAGAAATACAATGCTCTATAAAATATTCCACCGATATAAATGTGTCATTCCTTCAATGTTAATGAAGTTTTCGCTCCAGTTGTAAGTAGAGGTATGTTTTTGAAACAACAGTGAACTGTTTCGAAACAATTTCCACCCCTGAACAGCTCGAACGCCAAGAAAACAAAAATAGTATCGTAGTCTGTATGATTTCATTTGAAAGTGGGATGATTTATCAACATTTCATCTCGCTCATTTCTCCTTCATACTCATCAAAACTGTGAAACTCTCCTCGACGCGCATTCAAACAAACAAGTCCAGTTCAGAAACGTTTATTCAAATTTTTAAATAATAATTACATTATATTTGTGTAGGTGTGTTTGTGTGGGGCCCTGCTATAGGCTTATGCCTCTTCAGGGTGCAAACAAGTTGAAAATTACTCAGCTATAGATGATTTTGAAACCAATATTTGATGAAAAAGTGAACAATAAATGGCCTGAAGTAAAACCTTTGCCGGTGTTCTTATAGAAAACTTTGCTACGTAGAGACTTCCCCAAGCATTCTTGAATACAGAATTATTCACTGTTTTCAAAGTAAAGTTAATATATATTTTGGTAGAGTCAGAAGTTAAGTGTTGAGAAAGCAAATTAGAAAATAAAGGTAGGGTTTCAGATTTAGGAACAGAAGTGAACAGGTTGGTAACATCAAAGGATATCATGAGGGTGTTAGAATTAGGTTGAAAGTACCATCTTTGTGTATCTTCGGGAGACTGTATAATCTTGGAATTTGTGGATTGCTAGGGATTACATTGTGAGTTTTATCAAGAATTACAAGGCAATTGCCTTTGTCTGCTTTTGTTGAAATGAGATTATAATTGGAATTTTTTTAAGTAATTTGTGTAAAAAAAAATTCAAATTTCTCTGACTAGACTTATTCAAGTATGAAGGAGTTTCCTTAAGAGAAAGTTGATATTTAGTAATAGTAAACTGACAGAAATTTTTAATTTTCTGTTTAATTTTATTATTATTGGAAAGATTGTCAATCAAAACATCTAATTCAATGGAAAAGAAAGTGAGTTCTTTCTCAGACCGGTCTGAATTCAAGGAGAATTTAAGACCTAAAGATAGAATAGCTATTTCGTCATCATTGAAAGAAGCATTTGAAAGATTCTTAATACGTTCATGAAATTTAAATTCAGAAAACTTCTCAACTGAAGGTTGAGAGTTAAGTTAGTTCCTAGTGAGTTGAGCTTCTTGCTCACTTTTTGAAATTTTAAATTACTTTGACAAGCCACTTGGTCTGCAATATCTTTGAATAATTTTTGTAAAAATAGAGAATTATTAGAGATAAGATCATCATAACAAATTTCAAGTCCACATTAGTACGGTCTAGTTTGGCATGGTGTTTGCAAACAGCACTTCTGATGATTTTTCTCTCTGTGGAGTGTTTCAAGTGAGATGGTATATTGATCTCATCTTCTCTCAAACAATTATTCAAAAATAATATGTCGATTTGTAATAGATTCTTCGAATTGATAACTTTCTATTGATATCAGCTGGGGCTACCATACTGTAGATCAATAAAAGGATTTGGAAAAGCTGAATACACTTATTTGAATTAATGAATCGAAGAGGTTTTTGTATTAAAGTGTATAATTTTTGAAATTCTTGAAAAGCGCTTTCGACTTTCGTCATTATCAGTGCTCACCTGAAAGTAAGTGATCTAATTGAAAAGGAAGTTTAGCGAGAATTGAAGTTGTAAAATTTTAAGGTTAAGAAATTTGGAAAAATTGTTTGAGATTACTTACTTGTCAGGCAATAGGAAGTATCAAATCAAGTATAATATTGTCAGTTCCGACAATTATGCTTTTTGCTTCAATAAGTTTGTTGGGGGTTGAAATAGACACCAATATGTCTTGGCACAATCAAGTCGCTGGAATTGCAAAAGCTGATTCTCAAAAGCTCGTAACACTGTTCCGAACCAAAAAGCTGTACAAACATCAGCTAATTTTGATGATTTATGAGACGCAGATCAGACCTTCTTTGGAGTATTGTTCTCATGTATGTAGCTCTGCCCCAAAACATACTAGATTCCATTCAGAAAAGAGCCACTCGCTGGAATGGAGACGAAAACATCATTTGCAACCTTGATAGCCTGGAACATCGAAGAAATGTTGAAGGTTTATTTCTCTCCTATAGATACTTTCACGGGAGGTGTTCAAGTGACACATTTGTTTTCACCAAGAGCGGTACATATCAGAAATACGTGACGGACTGTGGCTGGTCATCGTTTTAAGGTTCAACTCAGTTGGCCTCGAACTTCACTGTTTGAGAACTCTTTCATCTGGAGAACTACAGTTATGTGGAATAAACTTCCAGCGAATCAAATCCGATGTGAATCGCTACTTTTGCACAGACATCGCTCTGCGCCTTAAGGATTTTTCTGTAGTGCTTGTGTTTTGTCCTCGAAAAAAATTGTAGCAGTCCTTACAACCCATTTATAAGTCCCTAATTCGTGATAGTGAACCATTAATTATTTATTAGCTCAATAAACAATATCTTCGAAAAATTCCTGAATAGAACGAATTAAAAATTCGATGGTTTGAACCAATTGCAGAAAGTTATAGTAAATCACACCAGCCGCTGACCAGCATACAGTAATCATGGTCTTTTTTTGTAAGGTGTGAAGTGCATGTGTCCAACCACTGCCGTGAACATTTCCTGTTGTCGTAGAGGATACACTTTTCATCACACGTGATGATCCCATCCAAAAAAGGAATGTTTAGGTTGCGCAATAACAAAGATGAACATACCTTGAAACTTAACAGTTTTTGTCAATAATTCAAATCGTGAGATACCGGTTTTTTCAGCTTTTCTACCTGTTCAATACGTTTTTAACTATAAAAAACCACAGTTCTCCCGCCATCCCACGCACCGTTCGTGATGGGTCAGTCTCCACCAGGGTCCTTAAATTCTCGTCCTCGATACTGACGTCAACAATTTGGGTGTTTTTCATTTGTTACGATCGGTTTCGGTTTGCTAAATTTGAGTTTACTTGAGAATGGTGGAAATCAGACAGAAGTTATTTTCTTTATCCTATATTCAAAAAAATTGTAAACGGACAAAATTTTTGAAACAACCTAATGAAAGAACTTACTTAATGAAATAATCATAACGATCAGCACCCAACTTCTTTCTCTTTTCAGTAGTCGAATAAAATGTTTCCCAAAATGTCGTTTTATTGAAAATATTGTACCGGTATTGCAAATAGTTCGATTGATAATAATTATTCCTCTTGTCATTTCAGGTGCGAGGGTAAATCATAATCGGCTACTGGAATTTCGAGCGACCGTCCAAGAATCTAATCAAATTGGCCAGGAATTTAGGGTGAGAACAGCTACGTTGTGGTTGAAGGCAGACTTCCAGCCACATAATCATGGAAACTCCAAGTGCCGCAACACCGACATTTTCGTCTTCAAAATCATATCGAAAACGTTGCCAATATGGAGTGGTTTGAAACTTTGGCCATTGAAGAAGCCCAGAAGATGCCCCCAGTCTGGTTGAGATACGTAGACGACACCTTCATAATATGGAACCATAGGAATGCAGATGCCGCCACACGTTCCTACATCAGAGGATTTTTGAAAAGGATAAGACGGATTGGATCCAAGTATAACATTAGGATCTGCTTGAGATCTGGGAACACTATCCGTAGCAGCCTCACGATAACCAGGCCACCAAACGCAGACTGCGATTCCAATAATTGCATTTACCGGATACCCTGCGAGTGCGGAGAATCATACATCGGTGAAACTAAGAGGCCATTGAAAGTTCGCATTGCTGAGCACAAGAAATACACAGCGAGGAGAAACCAGCAAATCCGGAATAGCAGTTCACATCACCACGTAAGATGAACATGACCTCAATTCGCTCGTTTAGAATATCAAGTAGCTCTGTCCTATTGAAACCACATGTCGTTGGTGTCCATATCATTCAATAAAGGCTAAAAGAAGTTGGTAATAATCGACCTATAGTGCTCGCCGTTGACAGTAATGGTCAAAGCCAAAGTCGTTCTCGAAGAAATATGGAGCAATGACGCTGCCAGCCCAAAATCCACACCAAACAGTAACTTTTTCGGAATATATTGGACGCTCTGGGGTCTCATATGGATTAGTATCTTTCCAAATTCAACAGGTTTGTTTATTCACGCACCCATTTATTCAGTAATGTGTCTCATCGCTGAAGATGATTTTTCGATGAAAACGATGAAAATTATTGTTAGTTGCCAACGGATTCAGAGCTCATTCAGCGAACACATGTCGTTGTCTATGGTCGTTTTCCTCCAGTTCCTGTGTCAATTGAATTATTGGTGTACGACATGAGCTACGCGAAATCGACTGCCTTGGATTCTCCTCCACATTCTCACAAACAGCAGCTATGTTTTCAGCAAATCTTGCATTTGGTCTATGCTCGGGTATTAGTCAATCTTTGACTGAATCAGTGGACTCAAACTTATCCACCAAAAATTATGGCGACAGTGAAATGGGATAAGCTTTAGGTACATTGTCCGAACAGAAATCCGATTTCGATATAACAACTTTCATTATTTTCACGTATTGATGGATGTTATATCCGTCCATGGTGATAACTGATAAATAATTTGACAGGTGTCAAGATGGCCATTATTATTAATTGTCAAGGTTCGGAAGTCCCTATTGAAGGACCCTATAATTATACCATGTGATCTGAATATCTGGAAACTACCCGTACTTTCACATTTTTCACATTTTTTGGAAATCGAAAATAGTGATACATTTTTAATAATGAACAATAATATCGTTTTACACATCAACTATGATTTGTTTGAAGTACTCGCTTTTCTGTATTCATCTTGATGTTACTTTTCCAGCAATTCGACGACGTAACGGCAGATCCAATTGCGATATCCTTAGAAGAATCAGAAAGTGGCTGGCAGAAAATTGATCTCACAGAAATGGTCAGGCAGTGGCTGATAGAATCCAGCAAGGAAAAACTCAGGTTATTTGTTGACTGCAGCTGTTGTTCCAATTGGCATATCCATCTTTTTAATAGCGAGAGGAGCAGGAAACCGAATCCACATCAACCTTTTCTAGTGATACACACCGATCCCAGTACAACGAAGAGGGTGAGAAGAAGAGCTATAGATTGTTCTAGTGACTCTGGAAATCAGTGCTGCAAGCAGAGATTTTATGTCAATTTCACTTACCTGGGATGGGATGATTGGGTCATAGCTCCACAAGGGTAAGCGCAAACATAGTTTTTTTTTCAATACCAATCGATATCTGAAAATTTATTCCGAATTTCTACTTCAATTATTGAAACAATTTCGTGATCACACATGAGAATAATAATGTGATCAACTTCAATATTTGGAACCCAAATGGCAGGAAAACGAACAGTTTAATTCAGCACTTCCACTGCGAAGAAAGCTACAGTTATCTTTCGAAATCAAAGATATATGCAAATTTTTGAGACTATGCAGAACGATGTTATGACTACATAGTAACAACACAAATCTTGAAATTGTTCATCATCCATCTAACTTCTGCAAACAAATGTGTGGACAAAAATCGTTTTGTGTGGAATGAACGTATCATCGATAAGGCCCTTTTTATGCCTCTTCATATTGATACCAACTGCTAATCTTTTTATGCAATATACGACAGTGTCAAAATCATAAACTGATGTAACAGAAGTAATGTTCACATTATGTTTAAGAAAGCTGTATTCTGTTATTCGTGTTGTGACTTTCAACGCAAGTTTGATGAATAATTTTCTGATTTGTTTTGAAATGAAAAGTGACATGAAAAAAAGTACAGTGCAGGACATATGAATGATACCATTCATAAACTTTTTGAAATATCAAACCTGGAGTGAAACTGAACTATCACTTTCTAACTGAGTAATGAAGATTTTCATGTCAAACAAATCACTCAGTATATTGTTTTTTCAATTGTTAGCGTAGTACACCCTCAGTACATATACGAACTAAGTTTCTGTTTCATTCCAAATCTTTGAAATAGTAATAAATTGGGTCACTAGTGACTGAAATTATATTGTTTGGAAAGTTAGCCAAATCAGATTCACTCAAACTTGATAATTTTTGATGAGTTCTCTCCTTCTTCTCTTGTTTTCGGTCTTTGCTTTCCCTACGGCGTAGTGAACTAGTTTTGAGGAGTTGAACTATACTTTTTCCACGACCATCTAACAAACCTGGGCTGTAACGGCTTTTTTATATCTAAGATTCATATACAAGCCTGTTCACTACTCAATATTATACGAGTATCAACTTTTTTCAATCAGACGCACTGTTCCTGAGTAATTCATTTCAGGAATCTGTGATCAAATGACAATTCATTCAGAACTTACTGATGTTCAATGAATGTTCAAAATGTTCATCATTCAGTTTCTGACAACAAGATCATTTAGAAATTGATTTTCGACATTGTTGCATATTTCTGGGTTCTTTAACATATACTTTCATGAATCGTCATACAGGCGTCGTATCAGGTGATTTATCGGACCACTCTCAAGACCATGTCTCCTATCCAGAGGTTCGAATGATTGTATCCACTCATCACTCTCGAATCAACTTCTAATTGCGAAGAGGTACCCCATCTTGGTGAAATGTAGAATCGGTTGAAAACCCATTTGGGTTGCTTGTTCTATCCTATTCACTCTATAAATGAACAATTCAGAAGTATAAAGTACAAATTCAATCCAGAAATATTTCAAAATGTATTATTGAACATCCTTCATCGTTATCTGAGAGCAGATCTCCACACTTCGAACATTTATTTGGAACTTTGGAGTTTCCAATGAAATTTACATGGGAAGCAAAATATAAAACTGCTGATTACTCAGGAATGACTGTTTCGATTACTATTATCAGATGGAAAATCAATGTATCTAACAAACACATATCACAAGCCAATTTTTACTTGAGAAAGAAGTTAATGTCGTTTCTGGCACAGAAAGTACTTCAAATGATGCTTTCTTATGATAATATTGTTCGATTTTGATATACAATTCTGTTCAAAACTCAAAAAGGGGGAGAATTTACATTCACGTTATATATTCCAGTACGATAAATATTTGTACTTTGTGTTTGAGAAACATCTGATTTATTGTTTCTTTGAATTTTAATTCAATAACTGTCTGGTAACACTTACATTTTCAAATTATCAGCTTCATGTCAAACCTGCTACCTATTGATATTCCTAACAGTTTTTAGAATGATAAGATCATTTCATTGATAAGCCCTACACTGTAGATTGATTGATGAAATTGAGATAAATACTATGCAGAATAAGACAAATAGATCATGAAAAGTTTATATATTGTATCCCAAAAAAGATGTTTAGTAGTCATTATCCACTCTCTAAGTAAGTAAAGAAATAAAATAGAGAGTTCTCTCCATTATTTCAATCAATTTCTTCCGATTCGTAATCATCTTAACAATCGTTTTTGTCAATGGCAATATGACACTGAACAGTATAAGAATTATACTGTTGCAGTTTCGGCCTAATCTCGTAAAGTGTCTCTCATTCTTTTTGATGTGTTTTTTTTCACATTTTGATATACGATACTATAACACCGAAATTGGAATTCAATTATTTTGAAAGAAATTACATATTCTGTCTCCCTCTTTCCTATCATTCATCGTTCTCTTCACGTAAAAAATAGGGTTGTCAATACCGGGTCTATTTTTTTCCCACTTAAAGTATTTCAGGTTAACTTTTTTTTAAAATTTTTTTTCGATTTAAAATTTGATCTATTGGTGACATTATAAAATAACGATAAAAATGAAAAGAAAAATTAATTGGCGCTCCGGGGCGACTTCATTGATTCAAATGGCGCATTTGCTTTTTCAACTGCTAGAAAACCCGGAAAACCCTGCAGCACCACATCATCTGAACATCTTGATCTAACAGTCCAATGTCCTATCTCTCATAAAACAAAATGTAGGGTGTCTTCAGAGGCTCCAATAGATTCAATACATCACCAGAACACTCCGTGACACGACTATCGTCAAACTTAAACCAGTCCTTTTCGTCTTCGACCAAGGCGTAATAAAGACCAAATTCAACGCCAGAACCACAGTGAACAATGACTGCATGAATATTGAAATAGGGGTCTGCTAGATTGAAATGTTCATCTATTTCGAACCTTCGAATAAGTTTCTTGCTTCCGTCAGAGGTTGAGTCTTGTTTGAAGATCATCACTGTTATTATTAGATTGACCGGTGCCTCAGCTATACTTGTTTTCTTATAACAGTCAGTTAGTTTGGCGCATGTTTGGCAATACAGTCGATCATCACCTGTTAAAAATTCCATTTTCAGATGATTTAACAATAACCTTTGCAGGGACTGGTTATATTAGTCATATAAGGGATCGCTAGATGAAGTTCCAGAAATTCACATAAGTTTTCGCTGCCGCTTGAACATTTACTACAAAGTAAACAAGTGAGGATTTTTCCAGCAAAAGATTTACAAATATAAGACGACATGGACTGTACGGAATCATTCAATCCAGAACGGTTAGGAGTATTGATTTTGCTATTGTTTTGCTCACGAAGAGTATTCAACAAGAACCCCAAAAGTTCGGAACAATCCTAACGAGTATCTAGTGGACTTCAAAGACTCCAGGAAATCGGTTGGAGGGAAAGATGATACATTCTTACGAAACTGCAGCTGCATGAACAGGTGTTTGAGTTTGATGAATAAGTAGGAAACATTCCCGGTCTCGTTCATCATCAAAACCTCGTTCTTGAAATTCTTCGTCATGAACAACACTTGTAAAATGCTATTCATGTAGCAAGTGTTTCCTAAATTATCCAATCCAATTTTCTTCTCTAGATTTACAGGACAACTCTCTACTGTTTCGTAAGGAAGAACATGTTTCACAGAATCTCCATAAGAACCATTTCTCAAGCTGCGATAGATCCTTCCAAGTGAAGAAGGGTTTCATAGAGGGATCGATTCGGCTCTTGCTTCATGAAGCTCTTCCACTGAAAGGGAACCAGAACTACGAGGACTGCAACTCATATTTGGGGGGCAAGAATGGCCTAAGTCCATTGACCGCACTGAAAAAGAAGGTGGATCAATCACTTGTGAATTAACCTTGATAGGAGACTGATAAATATCCACATATCTCGGCTTTATCGAAGAGATTTCAGTTCCGTGCTGAAATTAGGGCAATGCATTGTCTCATCAAAATTATGTGAAGGAGGAATAGTTCCAAGGACCGAAGCAGCATTGCCACGTTTAATAGCAATAATAATTCTTTCTATCAAAAAAAAAGGTAGAACGGTGATCTTTCGTTGCTTGGCCTATTCTCCTTTCGTGTTGTTTCGAAAGTGTGGTCCGTTTTTTATGAATCTACTTCAGACTGTAATAACTCAGTGAATACCTATTCAATTCAATAGAAATAAGCGCTTGTTTCAGTCGGCATGAAAATTGTCTGCTCGGGATTCGATGAAGACCATTTTTGTCTGATCCTGAAAGGCGAAGATTCACCGGTGAGGTTATCGCATTGCTTGATAATACTATAGTCGGTTGGCGGGAACTCTGGGGAGTATGGTGGGTGAAGCAGAACTTCAACGCTCAGTTTATTTAATTTGTGAAACGTGTGGACGGGCGTTGTCGTCGAGCAGGATCGGACCTCTTCTATTGACCAGTATCGGCTGCTGCTGACGAAATTTTTAGAACATTTCGTCGATTTCCGCACAATAGGACTCTGCTGTTAGTTTGTCCTAGTTGCCGAAAGGAATAGTGAATTTAAATATGTTCTGTTATGCACCCGAAACATCCATAGATTGGATTTCGTACCATTTTTTCGGAAATATGTGCGGTAGCATTCCGCAGCGCACCGCGTACTTAACTTACTTTCTGTCTTTTTCGTTCGTTTGATAAAAAATATTTCTGTACCTACGAAAAGTCGACAGTGAAAATAGAAGGTTTTTCGCAGAATGGATCGAATTATATTGTTTTACGCTGTTTGATAGGCCTCAAGCGGTTCCAGTGTGCATATCTCAGTTCTTACGAAAAGAGTACAAACTTACTAGTTCGTTGCATGAGCGACCAAAAAAAAATCCACAGAAGCAGCGGTACGTGTGCGCTGGACGCTTGATAAACACGAGAAACCATTTTCTGATTCTGTATAGAACGGTATCCACTGAAGAATTTTGGGCCAAACATGTCCCAGAAAAATATGAAAATTGTAGAAGACTAGCTATCAATTTGGCCACTATGTTTGGCTCGATATATGTATGCGAAACATCTTTCTCAAAGAGGCATTTTTTGAAAAACAAATATCGTTCGAGATTAACAAACGCTCACCTAGAAGACACACTTCGAATTTGCTATTCCTCTCGAGAACCAAACTATAAAAAAATGGCTCAAGACCGTCGGTGTAGTTTCTCACATTAATAAGAGGTCCAAAATAATATATAGCACTTTATTTATACCTAATGTTTGTTTTCTTTTTCTGGACCCCGTTAAAAGTATCCCATACTATCCGGACCCCACCTAAAACTACTTGCCTACCTAATGTAATGTACTTGCCTACTTAATGTAGAGGATCCATTTTTTATCACACGTGACGATCCGATATGAAAAAAAACATTTTGCTTGCACAAAAAAAAATTCAGTCGAACGATTGAATCGTGGAATACCCACTTTCCGACCTTTTCACATTTCCAATACCTTTTGAACCATCAAAAATCGCATGGAAGCTGACGCCCAGTTCTTCCGCCATCCCACCCATATGATGGGTGAGATGGCGTCTCTACCATGCCGTCTCTACCACGGTCCACTATCATTGCCAAATGTCCGGTTGATTTTTTGGGCTGGTTTGGCAGTGCATTCAATCAATTTGAATTCATAAAGGAAATAGCGTAATTATTTGAAAAACAGCTTGAAAAATGCTATTATTTTCGTTCTCCAAAAATATCATTGAGAAAAACATTTCGACTCTTTCGGTCCTCGGTGAACTTTTCATTATTTGGCAATTACAGAAAATAGCATTGATTATTTAACGAATCAAAATTTTACAGGGGTGCTTTCATTCTCAGTGGATCACACTGTATATTATAAATGAATCTTCAGAGTTGAGGAACTGTACACTAATTTGTCCGTGCAATTGTGATATTACTTTTTGAATTGGATAATTTCCACTCACTTTGTGAAAACTTTGTATCAACTTTTTTCAGGTACTTTGCCAATTACTGTCGAGGAGATTGTGGTCACCATCGAACGCCTGATACTTATGGCACCTATCACGCGCACGTCATCGAAGAAGTGAGGAAGACGCAACACTTATCCGGAATGACGCCTTGTTGTGCTCCTCTCAAATTCTCCAGCATGAGTTTGATTTATTACGGTCCTGACTCGACTATAATCAAAAGAGACTTGCCCAAAATGATAGTAGATGAGTGCGGGTGCCCATAAAGTGAACATTTTATAACAATTGTTGGAAACTAGATGAGTTGTTTATTATTACTGGAGATGAATAGTAGAGTTGAATCAGTAGATGCCAAAGTTTCTGTATTTAAATGAACCGAACTGATTTCGTCCAAAATGTTTTCTGTCATGCAAATAAATTAATTTATTCACATTCATGAATACAATGATATCAGAAAATGGAACCTCTGATGTAGAATGAATCCAAGAGAAGCACTCTACCCAATCACCAGATATTCAATATGGCGTCTTCTTCTCCTGAGAACGCTAACTTGATTGGTGGTTGATTGGAGAAAAGTATTGCATTTTTGGTGATTAGGAAATATGCTTTTGTTTTGGATTACAAAATGTGAAAGTATAATAATTGATCTAGAGTCGTTGAGAGGTCGAGCATTACATGAAATCAAATAATTATAGTCGAAACACCCAAGTTTTCTTCAACTTCATTCCTCTTCATTTTTCGCGATTTCAAATAAACCATGAGACGAATGCACTTATTTCACGTTTCTGTTCATAACTCCTAAATATGCCACAGATTCATTCTGGTAGCGAACAAAATTTTCTACAAGAATATTGCTCAAGTTTTTCTTTACGATCAGTCATTATGGAAATACAGAGCTACACAATTGATTCAACAACCAGTCAGTTTCATGCCCCTAACAAATAATCATAGTAAATATGCTATCAGTTAAGATTCAGAGATGTAAGTTTTCTCTAAATAGAACGTCCAAAACGTTTTTCCGACGGTGGTTGAGATAAAATTAAACGAAACTGGGAAAAAGTTTTGAGTGGAATTCGAAAGTACTGCAAGTTTGATCAGTTCTTTCAATGAATTCACTGTTCATCAATTTCCTCACTCATATTTGTGTGTAAGAGAGACTTTCATCTAGCTATCTTTTGGCGAATGTCAACGAAGAATCGTCATAAAAAACTTACATCAAAGAAATGCAGGAAACGAACATGAAAGTTGAATGAAACTGGCCAATGAAAATCCACATTAAAATTACTGATGAAGTTCACTGAATTAGTTGTAGGCCAGAGCAGCTCCCTGAAAAGAGCTGATACATACAATCCTCAATTTACTAGTAAAAACCGGGGAAACCAGATCAATCAATTGATGATTACAACGTTGTAATTATTGGAGGGGGAAAATACTTATTATTCCATAAACAAATATTAGGGAAAACAATCTTACTAGAATCAATTTCATCGTTCAATAAGTATTTGAAACTTTCGAATTCTTTTCTATATCTTTCAGAAGGTTATGTGTCAAACCATTTTTCAAAAAATTAAAAGTTTTGAATTCATGATTGAACACTGTAAGGATGTGAGAAGCTGTCTTTAAATTCAATTTCCTATTCTAGTATGAAGGTTTCTAATTTTTACAACAAACATATAAAAAATAACAGAAACAAGAGTATTATGTCAGATAAATGAGCAGGTAATAAATGATCGTGAGGTTAATGTCCAATGTTTTACATAGGTCAAACTGGAAGAACATTTGAAGCACACATAAAAAAACAAAGGAATAGTTTCTGAAATGGAAAAATTTATTTAACATATGCCTGCTGACCTCAGATAAATCAAGAAGTTTCAAAATCAATATTCTGGAAAGTATGAAAAGTGATTTAAAAATTCTTTGAATCTAATGAACAAGGTTGAGTTGAAAAACAGCCTTGGCTAATACTCCGCCTATTCACCATATATCTATTGTTCCTGTATACTGTTTTATTTTATTTTTATCTATTCCATTTGTATTTTTATGGTGAATAAAGACGTATTATTATTATTATTATTATAAATATTATACTTGCAAGTAGTCCATAGTGTTCTAGTACATACCCAACATACTTTTCAAGAATGTTGTTCAGAGACGAATTCCGATCCCAAACCATTTTATGTAACAGAAAACGACCATCGATTCTTACGAGTATTCAAAGACCCGGTCAACTTCGGAGCGATGTAAAACTTGGAAATTGAACAGATCGATAGTGGAAAATATTCTTTGAAAAACCCTCTATAAGATTGCTCTGGTATCATTTTGTTGCTAATTGACCAGAAACGCCCTAAAGAAAATTTTCAGTTATTTTTGTTAATATTTTTTTATTTTCCATTTTATGATAAAAAGTAATAGGAATGAACTTGTAGACGAGTTAATTTTCTACAAATGATACCTTATAAAATTTTCTAAAGGGGTACTAGTTTGCGAAATACAGCGCGAAAACACTTTGCACCCCTTTTTACAAGATGGCGGCTGGGAGACAAGGGTTGCTATGCCCAAACTTGAACTACAGCTGATACTAACCCCCCCCTAAACATCAAAATAATGAAATTCCATCCTCTGAGAAACTCAACCCTAAGTGTATATTTTCAATGGACTATTACGCGGAGGCCAAAACTTATACTTCAACCGCCGCCAACGTTTGCCCTTTTAGCACCAGACGAGTCAGAAGTTCCCAGTACACGCTGTGGGACTAAGGAATTATCTCTCTCTCACTAACTTTGTTCGTTTTGTCTAGTCTTTCTGTATTTCTACACTCTGAGATAAACAAAAAAAAGTTCAGCACCTTATCCCCGTCTAAGTACGCCAATGAATATCGCCATCCATCCGTGGAGAAATACATAAGGGAGACGCGAAACCGCAATAAGTCAGGCTGGGCTGTTGGTTGTGCCTGTGAATTCATCAAAATTAATGAAGACGGGCAGCGACAAGGCGAACGCTTTCAAATAATTAGGAGGAAAAAAGTGATGCCGCCGTGATGGTGTAAATCAGATTTTTCATGATGAATCGGTTCTTAAGAATGAGTGAAATCAATAATTTACTTCACAATCTGTTCTTGAATTTCATCAAAAATCACCTTGTCACATTCCAGTTGGTTGAAAATCATTCTGACCAAACTGGTTTGGAAAAAGGTAGGCGGGAAAGAAATTTCTTTTCGTAAAACTCGTCCAATATGTTGTACTATCTATGATAATAATAATAGAATTTTCACAATTAATTTCATTCGAAACGCGTTTCACTGGTTTCACCAGTTATACATGAATCAAATCTGTAAACCCAAACTAACAGAAGGATTTTGCCCATTGATAAAATAATATTATAACAGCCAATTGGTTATTTGACCATCTGATCATACCACACTGTGCCGTCAGCGAAGATCTCTAGATCGCAATCCAAATTACATCCCCATCAGTCATGGGGGACTGTTTGGAAATTGGCTCCCCCTAGGTTGGGCTAGATAATAACAAGATTCAAAGTCTATATTCTTTTGTATACCTGCTACATGATCTATACGTATTCCGTACCTATGACGTTTTGTTGTAATTGATTGATTTCTGAAGTTGATTCGATAACCCTTTTTCTCTTTTATCGGATCATGGAAATTGTGTGCCTTAAAGCAAAAAATCTACCATAAAATCTTAGAGTGAACAATATTTTCCATTAAAATAATATTATCACTGCGTGCCACTCTATGTCGAATATGAATTTTAATTTGAGTATTTCAAAGACAGTGAACATTGAATTGATTCTCACACGTTTACTCTGGCAAAATGTATCTACCTCAGCTAGTGTTCATCTCCTGAGTAATAAACTACTCGGAATAAATTTTGTATTCAACTGAACTCTTTAAATGAATTAAAAGGTATTGTGCAGTTAATTTTTCGAAATTATGTGTTACCACTTTAATTTTCAGATAAGGTAGTTAAAATGATCGGAGTGAGATAGTTTTTCGAATTACGAAATTATTGTTGAAGAAGTTGAGGTTGTACTGAAAGTGAATACTCTGAAAAGTAGTGAAAAATTTGACAAACGAGCCCTTCCAATATAGGGACTTAGCTTTTTGAATCTCTATATTATCTTGAATTTTTGAGGCAAAAACGAATTTTGAGAATTTTAGCAAATTTTTCATTAAATTTCAGTCTAATTTAGGAAATGACTTATTTTTGTATTTGGCCTTATAGGTAGGGATTAAGAGAAGTAGCCTGAATATTTTAGAAAATTTGATATTCGGATCGATTTTTTGTTATTGTGTTTCAATTTGAATGTGTGACTAAACTTAGGAATATAAAGTATTCAATATCTTTGATATTACTTGAATAATAAAATTATGAAGCTGTTATAAGCTTTACTTTCAGTAAATGAGAGTATCTTTCATTATTGATCAATATTGTTGAACCCGAATTTGTAATCATAATTTCCATTTGATGATTCGGAAACAACTTGATGTAGATAGACTGAAGAACTATTGAAATATCGAGCCTTCAATATTATGTTAATCTTTCATAGTCGTCAGTAAATTCGCTAATTAGGTATAATCAGATTGTAATCTCAAATTTACATTTTTTTTATTAGCAGCAAATACTGTATCCCTCGCATGAATTCTGTAGAATTATGTGAAATATATTTCATAAAGATCCTCAAAAATATATTCTAATCCGTCATTCTGAGAATAATTGTGAAATGGTTATTTTTCTGCTTGACTTCTTCAGCTCAAAACTGTTTCAAACAGTTTCAGTTGCATCAATTCCATAAAAAAAATTGTTCATAATTACTAATTTTATGCTCAACCTGAATAGCTGAAATACACCATTTCACATGATTCTTACTCCTTCAGGTATACGCTGAAACTAGAATTAGTGAATGTGTGATCATTATTGTTTGTGATTTTAGTAACTTTTACCAATTTCTGTGATTTATTATCGAATTAGCATAAATATTTAGTTTAGGTTAGTCAATTATCTCGTTTCGTTCTCGAATTTTTTTTCACTGCCTCATTTGTTAAAATAAATGACAATAATTAATGAGTTACGAGAAAAAACGCCAATTAATATTGATAAAAAAAGACTCAAAATTACAACAGTGCATATAATAACGTGTATAAGTATTCTATACTAGTCCCACATAATACGTCTACTTATAAATCCTAATAGCTTTGTACTCAAAAAATAATATCAAGAAACAGGGGGAAATGAGTGAGCCGATTGAAGTTTGTGTACTTCAGTACAACAATATGAGCTGGTGTTTTTTGTTTTTTGAAATTCTCTCTGAAAATTCGAAACTTACACCATTTTATTCTCTGAATTATTTTTTTCATGCCACTACCTACTTCAAATCTAGATACAGGTTTCCAAACTTCGAACTTCGTTCTGAAATATTATTTCAATAATATACGATTTCTCAACTACCTACCTAGTCAGCAATAAAGGAATGAAATTATCACATCCAGACGGTTTTGACTCATACTGGATTAAAGATTATTCTGAAAATAGAAATGGAATATTTCAAGGAAATAGTATTTTCACAAACTATGTAATGATCTTTTTTTTGTGTGAATAAACACATTTTATCAAAGTATAGTTTACAAACAAAAACAAATATGTGTGAATGCATTTTCCTGGTTATTGCATGACGTTTCATCTACTACTGCGGTAGACATTATAGAAGGCAATATGGTAACGGTCGCAGGGCCTGAGGTGGTGCTCGAGTTATTATTCCTTTGATAATGTTTACCGAAGTAGTAGGCGAAACTTCAGCCCCAAAAACCTTCAAAACACGGCCAAAAAACCCGGAAAACAGCTTTGACACAATTATCCCCGGCTGTAACAAACAAACAACATCTCCGGCCGTAAAAGTTTACATTCTTTGAAAAACAAGTGAACTCAAACATAAATTTTTCAAATTGTCAAACAAACACAATGAGCTGTTCAGTTTGTCTTTTAATCGACCAAACTGCATGGAAGCATAACTGATAATTATTTTCTTTTCAATGTCCCAATTTTTTCATAGGCATTGCCCTCAAGTATATTTATTATTACTCAAATGTCAATCGGTTCATTCCTCATTTCCTTACACATACCCAGCATCTGTATTTATTATCCTGCCTTGAGACAAAAAGTGTATATGAATAAAATTTCTCAAAAATATTTTAATTATTATACCTATTTAAAAGTGTAAATATGTAAGCTTCTAAAAAACAGCCAACTTGCTAGATAGAAGTTTTCGTACTGAGAGGCCAGATGTGAGGGAGTAATGAAAGTTAATATTTTCCCTATGCATACAAATTTTGTATAGATTGGCCCTTAGTATGAAGTATGAATTGGAATTAGTGAGAATCACGATGTTAATGTTTCTCAATATCCATTTCCAAAATGTCTATTATAATCAGTGCTGAAAAATCATTGAAATATCTGAAAAATAATTTTCGGAGAAATTCTCTCTGAAAATTGCAATAATGTACATTATTTGAACTAGCTTTTGCAATACAAAATATGGATAATTTGATAAAAATAGCTCCTTAGATTTAGACAAATTCGCAATTTTTATTAAAAAACAACAAAATGTTCCTCATTAATTGTAAAAATGAAGCAATTAATAAAAAAATTGAAAACTCAATTGGTAATATCATTTATCACATCGAAAACCTTTCTTGAAACTTTCTATGGTGGAATTCTGAATATACTTTCGAAGAAAAATGTGGATATGTCAAATTGAGATCATATTTATGTGATTCTTGTCACTCTTTCACGAGCTTCCCAAATGATTCGAGTAGATTCTACTAGGTTTATTAATCTGAATCTGCCTGTTCAACATCATATTCACGTTTCAGCCCACAGCAAATTTTCTGATCACTTAGGTTGATACTTCTTCATCTACAGTCCCAGAAAAAAAACACTATCCTATTCATTTTTGATATTATTCAAATCAAATGAATTATTGATAATGTTGTAACGATATAAAATTATTGAGATGAGGACACTGAATTA